GAGGACTGGTAGTCTGCAGAATTTAGTTCCAAGTCCAATGGGCTATATGCACAGCCAGTTATTAGGCCAATGATGAACTTCCGGTGAGAGTTTCATGTGACTTTTTTCAATTTCATAAGTTTCTTTTTCCAGCATCGATGTTGTAATGTTATTCATATATAATCAGTTAAATAGACTTAAGCATTTATTTGATTGTTAAAGCATAAAAAGAAACTAAAGACCATTTAAATGCCATCATTAATTGAAAATACTGGAGTAAAATGAATTTCCATATTTTAAAGACATGGCACAGCAAAATCTAATTTAATGCAGTGCTTCTTGTTTGGTCTGAGACCCAATTTCTATAGTTTCTCAGCCAAGCAGTGAAGATCAGTTTTTTTAAAGAAATCTAATCTTAAAGTTGCAATAAACCGCAAGCCCTGGAGCTGGCTGACTGAAATTAAAGGTCCGTGTGCATATACCTCATTAGACACACCTGAACCAGCTTATCAAGCTCTTTCCAGGTATACTAGAAACTTCACAGGCAGAAGTGTTAAAGGAAATTGGAGCTAAACTGCAGGACACCTGCCCTTTAGGAGCGAGCTTTTCCACCCTTGGTCTAGGTCAGGGGTGGCCAACCCTGTTCCTGGAGAGCCACCTTCCTGCACATTTCAGTTGCAACCCATATCAAACACACCTGCCTGTAATTATCACTTGGTGTTCAGGTCCTAATTAATTGGTTCAGGTGTGTTTGATGTGGGTAGCACCTGAAATCTGCAGGAAGGTGGCTCTCCAGGAACAGGGTTGGCCACCCCTGGTCTAGGTTGACATTTAGGAATTAGCTTAAATCAAGTGTCCACTCAGAGCCTCTAAAATACCCACAATGCATTATTAGAGTCATGTAGAATGAATTTCCAAATCACGCCAGAAGATGGTGCTCATAGTTGAATCATCCATCTGTTTTTTTTTTGCGTACGTTGTGTTGATAATCATATATAGCAAAAAAATAACCATTTCAACACTTTAATAAAGATTAATGACACCAGTAACTGCATCAAATACGTAAATTGGAGAAATCTAAATTTTAACCAATAAGCAAGTTAAACGCTGCTTAGGGCCACAGAAAATCTGAGGACCCCTAAATAAATACCTAGAAGTATAAATGATACCTACAAATTATATATCATTATATACAACATTGTTGTATATCATATTTTGTATGGTGAGGGTCCCCCACCTTTTAGTTATGGACCAGTCCGGTCAAATCAGTAAAGATTTAGTTTTATATTATTTTTATAATATAAAGTATTATTTTAAGTTGTGAATTCATCTTAAGAAAACAAATCATTTAAAACGTTTTACAAGGTGCGTTACATGTTGTTATTATTTTGGATTAGGTTAAGATAAAATGCAGAAAAGAAGATTGAATGTTATAAGAAAAAAAAAAGCTAAATAATTTTTAAAAATTAAGTAGGCTACACAAGGTGTATTTTAAAACTTTTGGGCCCCATGGCTGGAATTGCTTAGGGCCCTAAAATCACTAAATCACTCTTTGTGAACCTGCATTCAGCTTTTTCATGATGTCGTTGTATCCCTGCACTTGTCTGAATGAAATTTGCTATTGGATCGTCAATTGTTTACAGTTATTTCTAAAAACTGGATGTCGCTATACTAACAACCAGGTGGCAGCGTCTGTGTGCCTGCCTAATTACAAGTTGGTAGAGCCACGAAGTGTGTATGATGCCACGCTGGTCGGAATAGCGGCCTGTTGCGCGCCGGGGAGCCGCGTGGTTTCTGAGAGCTGAGACAAATATGCTTCGGGTTAAACTGGGCAGAAAGAAATGTGTTTACTCACAGCAGAGGCATAAAAAAAGGCATTGAGATGCATCACAGGGGAGTGCGCAGGGGAGGCTCATTAGATGAAACTGTGTTTTGGCAGCGCTTGTGTTAATGGTGTTGGAGAATGCCTTGAGAGACAGGCATCTGAAAACCATTACCCTGGCAGAGCTGCTGGTATGCGGGCACGGCGACCACAGAAGGGACGTTACAGTTAACGTTACTAGTACGTTTAGCGGATTTGTGTGTTCGCAGGCGATGAGGTGCAGTTTAGAGACGTTTTTACCCAGTCTGTGTTCAAATGGAGTTTAAAATAATCCCAAGTGAATGTCTGTGATTTAAAGAAAAGATTAAAATGGCCACGAGATGGCGGCGTAGTACACAACAGTCCAGCAGGGACGCTTCGTGACAGCATTGACCGCATAGAACCAGAAGCCGTTTTGACAGCACAGCCCCGAAACAGATATCTTTATTTCTGAAGTCGACTCTTTAATATGTACGACTAAAAACCGGACATAAATCCAACTTTGGCGTGGCGTGCGGGCATTTGCTGATCTGGGTGGGCCTGAGGTGCAGAAAATGAGCACATCTGGGAGGAATGGCAGAGAGCTCGTTGAGTGTGGTGTGACAATAACCAAATGGCTGTCTTTAAGATTTACCAAACAGCTATTAGATAAACGGCAAGCCGTGTTAACATTTAATCTAAAAAAAACACAATATCGCTTATGTATTTGCATGTCACATATACTTATTTATTAGTTTAAGTACTAGAATCATTTAAAATAGAATTGTTTGTCTTTTTAGATAACCATATCCATGCTGGCACATAAAACCTAGGAATGGTCCATATTGAATCTAGTTTAGTTTATAGTATAGTAAATATTTATATCTAAAATTTTTACTGGATTTGCACAATGTTCATTTGGACTTTGAAGCAATATTTCTTAGTTGTATTATTTCATTATTTTTTATTTGTGTATTGTCAAAGATGTTGTTTATGGCAACTGAAAATTCATTATTTGGAAAAAGTCAAACTTGCTTTAGTCTTATTTTGTAACAATCTTTCTGTTTAGTTTATTCCCAGAACTTTTGGGCAGCTATTGTCAGTAAATAAAATGCACAAGTTTTTCCGCACTGAAAAGCACCATAGAATAAAATTGAAATAAATTGCTATAACTTGCAGGGGATTTTGGATTTAGACAAAATTCAAGTTGGATGTATAAAACATCTTAAAATAACTATCTAAAGAAACAAAAGAAAACTTCAAGAGATTTTGATTGTGTTAGCTGTGAAAAATGCTAAATTTATTAGTCTTTTTTCTTAAAATTCCATAAAAATATATATATTTTTTTGTAATAAAAATGTAAAATTAGAATTTTTAACGCTAAACATTAAAACTTAAGCTTCTTCTGTTTAAAATGATATATGATGCTTGATGCTGACTGCTAGAATCATTTTGAGAAAACTAAAAATACAAGCATCTTGGGCATCCACATTGTCAGCAAATAATATGTACCAGTTTTTCTCTAAAAAATGCCTAGAGTAACATTGAAATAAACTGCTATAATTTTCTTAGGGAGTGTTGGATGTAGACAAAATTAATTTTTTTTTAAGTATAAAACAATATAGCTTTTATTTCTAAAGAAAAAAATAAACTTCATTAGGTTTTGTTTGTAATAACTTGAAAATGCCATCTTCTTATTGTTTTTCCTAAAATTCTGTAAAATCTTCTCTCTGTTCATGTTTTTAGGACCAAAACATGTTAGATTTGACTTTTTAATGATACAGATTGAAGCTTCAAGTTCTCCTGTTTAAATGCTATATGACACTTGAGGCTGACTACTAAAATAAATAAGACTGCTTTTTAAAAAATAATAATATAGGCCCATTAGGTCTTCACAAAATAGCGCTAGGTCTTTAAGGGTTAAATAGTCTCTAATTATTCATAATTAGAGACAGTACTTCTTAAACCGTGGCACTAATTCATTAGTAAGGGCCTAACAGTATTTATCCATTATGCTAATGCCTGTTTTGATATACAGTACTTCTTGTTAAGTAGATAGTAGGTACCAGTGATTATCCATCACAAACTACTTGATGTACTGCAAGGAATCCGTTGATTTCTTAAATCGCTACTTGAAATAAAAGTGTTTGTTAAGTGATTAAAGATAAAGCGATTTCAGTAGTGACTTGTGTCAAAACTGATTAGATGCTAGTCCTTTTTATTAGAAACGCAAAACTCGTTCCCATACAAATATTAGCCTAGTACTTGCTGATACAGTGAACAGCTAATTAACCACAAGCACCTATATAATAAATCCTTGTTTTTTATTAGTTACTAATAGTTATTAAACAGCATCTTTTGTAATTAATACTAATAACAATTTATTTATAACTTGTCACAACTGTTTACTCAGGTTTCGAGTTAATAACTATTATACTGAGTACTAGTGTATATTCTGGTGATATTAGTATCTAGTGGTACTAGTATATATCAGACAAGTATTGGTTTCTAACAATAAGTACTAGTATCTAAAAAGTAAGTATTAGTATCTTAATTGCGTTAGATATTAGTATCTGAGTGAACATTAATATAATAAACAAGAACTAGTATCTTAGTATTTAAGTACCTAAATTTTATAAATACACTGATTTCTAACAAATAAGTAATAAAAATTTAAATAAATGAAATAAATAACATTATAGTTTACAGATTAAATGTTAAAACAGCTTGCCACATTCGATACTTTCTCCCATGCAGATTCTCTGAGAGGTTCTGATTTATTCCGCTGCTGAGTAGAGTTTAATGAAAAAAACTTGATTAATAGAGTTAATTGCCATCTGTATGTGATTGTGGACATGTTGTGTGGCAGAATATATTGAGTTTGAAAGTCAATGACTTTAAGAATGAAGTGAGTAATAGCTTCACTCTGGCAATGACACGTAAGCTTCCACAAACTCACTGACTCTGATGCCACACAATAACTCTAGAGTGACACAGATGTAAATAGGTAAACAGCACTGCTGTCACTCAAAGAGCATTTATGTGTTGCCTTCTGTCTGTCGAATAATTGTTATATTACAGAAACCCATCGAAGCCCCAAAGTGCTCTCTGTTGTTCTTTTGTGGTGTGTTTGTCTGTTTCCTTGTCAGCCTTGTGAATTATTTATTCCTGTTTTGTTTAGATACAGATCCTCGTGTGTTGGAGAAACAGGAACTGCAGCAGCCCACATATGTCGCCCTCAGCTACATTAACAGGTAAATGAGCCTTTGGATTTTCATATGTGTGCTATTATGTGTTATGCTTTCAGATGTTATGGCCACTTATTTCAAGTTAGGACTAGGCTATATTGAAAAATATAAATTTCTTTTTTCATATTGGTTGATAACAGTATACATTTCAATAATTGCCAACTTTAAAATGATCACAGTAACAGCTGAATCTACAAAAGTTGGAGGCTTCATTAATTATATTTTCATTTATTCATTTTTTTTAGGCTTAGGCTCTTTATTTATCAGGGGTTGCCACAAGGGAGTGAAGCGCCAACTTATTCAGCATATGTTTTACACAGCGGATGCCCTTCCAGCTACAACCCAGTATTGGGAAACATCCATACACACTCATGCTCACTCATACACTATGGCCAATTTAGTTTATTCAATTTACCTATAGCGCATGTTTTTGGACTGTGGGGGAAACCGGAGCACCCAGAGGAAACCCACACAAGTTGTTGAAGTAGTCAGAGTGCAGAGTATATGTGTGAGCCCAATGCAGGAGTGCATTCAAGCAATGAAACACCAGTGTATTACTCTATTCTTAACCACAAGTAAAAACAGTGACACACTTTCAGCTATTAATCCACACAGTCGGAAAAGCTGAACTATTTTAAAACTTGACCGCCGCACATGTGAAGAAACAGCTGACGGTGGTCATAGCAACGACAAACAGCAGTGGATCTCGAGCTTACAAACGCATTTAAATCCAAAAACAAAGTGGCACACAAAGTGTTTTCAACGTGCCTTTAGACGCGATATGAGAATATAATAAGATAACCAAAAACAGTATGAGCGGTTAAAAGTAACAAAATACAATTAAATACAAAATTTGCAAGAGAAAATAAAGAGGCAACCATTTTAATCGCACTTAAGTTACTTACACTTGTGAAATGGAGGAAGGAACTGATCCATAATCTAAGTACTAAAAAGTTCCTGTCAAGCTCTGACAAAGTCCCACACATCAATAGTCTTTTCTGATCCTTTCTTTAACAAACGGCCGATGAATCCCCTGTTGTAAGCATGTAGACTGCTAAAGCACTCGTCAGAAAAATGATGGGAACACAGCACTAGGCTGGGGCTGTAATGCTGAGGTATTTTTGCAATAATAAACTTCAGCCACTGACTCTTCTGAACCTCATCTTTGGGTGGAGAAAATAACACTTACTTTCCCCACACACTTTAGAGCACAGCATCTTTGCAACATGATTCAACCGGGCTCTGCTACCGTGTTTGCCTTCCACTTTTTCTTTCTACAGTGTGTGTGGCCGGGGGTTTCAATTTTCCCAGGTCTGAGCCTGCAACAAATACACAGGGCTTGGGTTCCATATTGACATCACGCCGACACCGCTAAAGACACGTTAACCCCACAATTCATTTGAACCACTCTGAGTCGACTCTATTATAGATGAATCAATAGTTTTTAACATGGTGTACTTTCAGATTTAAGACTGGAGTGTTTTAAAGTCACGTCAATCAGTTGGTTTGTCTATGTGGCTTTAAAATGTACCAGTGTTCTTGTATCTGAGGTTACAGTCAGTAAACAGCGATGAGTTCGGTGAACTGATGAGCTTAACGGCCAATCACAGTCATTTCTGTTTAGCGCGTGAACACAACTGCACATCAGCGCTGTTTAAGAACTTGCTCCGTTGCGCTGAAATGTCGGCGGGAAATGGACGTTTTTAAAACATCAGTATCGATTGGTATCGAATTCCAGTTTTCATTTTCTTTTCGACTTAGTCCCTTTATTAATCTGGGGTCACCACAGCGAAATGAACCGCCAACTTATCCAGCATATGTTTTACACAGCGGATGCCCTTCCAGCTGCAACCCATCACTGGAAAACATCCATACACACCCATTCACCTATACCACATGTCATTGGACTTGTGGGGGAAACCGGAGCACCTGGAGGAAACCCATGCGAACACGGGAAAAACATGCGGACTTCACAAAGAAACGACAACTGACCCAGCCGAGGCTCAAACCAGAGGTCTTTTTGCTATAAAGTGATCGTGCTACCCATTGCGCCATTGCGTCACATTATTTAATTTGATAATATAGTTTTAAAAGAACCTAAATATATTATATTCATAAAGCAAAATAGTTTATTAATAGTCTTGGATCAATAATTCATGTTGAAATCTTTGTTGAAAGTAACCAAAGGAACCGAATAACAAAAATAAATTCTGATAAATGAGAGCAGTCTAGCATTTTCCTTAATGGGATTCGGTAGTTTCTGGAAAACTGCTGCATGTGGTCAAGTCTCCTCTACATCCTCTAAGGGATCTGGTCAGTTTATGAAGCTATAATGAACTTCAAACCAACACCAAAGTCTTCATATACTCTCAGCTGCACTACTAATTTTATGCAAGAATACGCTGAACTCAGAGACAGAAATCAGTTCCAGTGTGAAACGGCTTTAATAGGCTGAATGGTGGTGGAAATTCTTGTGTAACAAAGAGGAGACACTGTCGTCCATGTATTGCCGCTTTATGTGGCTTCTGCTGGCAATCTGTTAATTCCACAGCAGCTTTAATAATGTCTGTGTGAACATTTATGTTTTATTGCATACATTTACTGACAGTTTTATGATGCAGCAAAATAACTTGGAGCGAATGCAGGATTTTGAGGTGAACTGGACCCCACTGAATAAGCTGAATCACAACATATTTACTTTAAGAAGTTCATTTATATTGAAAGAACCAAAAGCAAGTCAGAAAATTAAAGATTTCTGGTAATTATTTTTGGTAAAGAAAGACTTTTTGATGGCAAACTATTTAGATTTGTTTTGAAAATGTACTCACCCTGAAGTGGTTGAATACCTTCATGAGCTTTTTATTATCTGTTAAACAAAGAAGAGGATGTTTTGAAAAATGTTAGAAACCTGTAACCATTGACTTTCATAGTAATGTTAGAAATGTTAGAAGTCAATGTAACCATTGACTTTCATTTTCTTAATGAGTTATAATTGTGTTTTGAGAATAAACCAATCTCATCTCCCATTCCCTTTAAGAGCCAGTTGCATCGTGCCATAAATTTGCTATTTACATGACGTAAAGTAAGTGTGAGTGGAAAAACGTTTGAGGTTACTAAAGTAACCCTTCGTTCCCCGAGGAGGGGAACGGAAGCACTATAAGTGGATTTGATTGTTAAAATCCACGCATTGGGAGGTTCGGTTCAGAAGCTACTCGTCTGAAAGAGTATTTAACGGGCCAATTAAGAATGAATTGGCAGCGCAAGCCTGCGCAGGTGAGCGGCATAAGCAATCAACTGAGTATATAAGCTCACCTGGCGCCAGCAGACGCTATCCTTTTTAAGCTGAAGAGACTTTTAACAGGTAAGGGACAGTCATTATGGCGACGGAGTATAGTGCTTCCTTTCCCCTCCTCGGGGAACGAAGGGTTACTTTAGTAACCTCGAACGTTCCCCTTCGGGGGGAACTCCAGCACTATAAGTGGATTTGATTGTTAAAATCCACGCATTGGGAGCCCATTGAAAGCGCCATAATGACTGCACCTTACCAACACCCACCATGAGAGAGCGGTCAGGCAAGCGTGACGCACCCAGATCACGAGAGGCGTGGTCCTCCAACGTGCCCTTGGCCCTAACTTATCCTACTTCAAAAGAAGTTTAACAGAATAGGTATCTTTTTTGGGAGTCGCTAGCGTCTATATAATTCTAGGAATACACGACAGTACGTTGGGAAGCGTGCCATCCCAGTAGGGAGGACGCTGCGGAGACCATCCGCACCCAATAGGGGGAAACAAATGGAATTACATATGGACTAACCCTGAAAAGGGGGAGTGCGCATAAAAGGTGGTTAGCAGATAGGGAAAGCACGGGTCCGCCCAGGGGGGGAACTTAACCGTGGCGGAAAAAGCATATGGGGATCACCAGCGGGGATCGGCCATAGCAGGCACCTATACCCAAAACGCGGGCTGACCAGCGGGCAGACCTACTACGTAATGGGCCAGCAAGTGACTCCTCCGCTGAGTCAGTGCTGGGGGCCTCGGAGGAATCTGCAGGGCTCACCAAATGGGGAACTTTACTGACAGACAGGAGGGTGCACATCTCTCCGTGTTAGGGAAAAAAGACACCGCAAGCGTGTACAACACCTACCGAGTTGTTTCCTGAATCACCAAAGGTACCTAACACCCTTGAGGAAACCGGCTCCACTCGCAGATTATAAATCTTGCAAATGTGTTGAGTGTCGCCCAGCCCGCAGCTCTACAAATGTCTGTTAAAGAAGCGCCACGCGCACACGCCCAAGAGGATGCAACGCTCCGAGTGGAGTGCGCATGCACTCCTGGGGGGCGCGGCTGGCCTCTGCTCAAATAAGCACATGAATGGCCTCCACAATCCAGTGGGATAAACGTTGTTTAGACACGGCACTTCCCTGCTGCCGTCCGCCATAACAGACAAAGAGCTGCTCAGAAGATCTAAAGTTCTGAGTACGGTCCACATAAATGCGCAGAGCGCGAACTGGACAAAGTAAGGACAGGGCTGGGTCTGCCTCCTCCGGGGGCAGCGCTTGCAGGGTTACTACCTGATCTCTAAAGGAGTGGTAGGAACTTTGGGCACAAAACCCGGGCGGGGTCTCAGAATAACGTGAGAAAGTCCCGGCCCGAATTCCAGGCACGAGTCACTGACCGAAAATGCCTCCAGGTCCCCGACCCTCTTAATGGAGGCCAACGCGACCAGCAGAGCTGTCTTCAGGGACAGAAATCTTAAAGATACTGTATCAAGTGGCTCGAAGGGATCAAATCGCAGGCTCGTGAGAACGAGGGCGAGATCCCAAGAGGGCGTGAGAGGGGGGCGAGTTGGATTAATTCGCCTAGCGCCTCTGAGGAACCGGATGATGAGGTTATGCTTTCCCACGGTGCCGCCAGTCACCGCGTCATGGTGAGCGGAGATGGCAGCAACGTAAACCTTGAGAGTGGAGGGCGACAGCCTGCTGTCCAGCTTCTCTTGAAGGAAAGAGA